AATAAAATTGATCATCTGTGATTAATGCATGTTTCAGGTAAAAAAGCAGATAACCTCCACAATTATTTTATGACAGTGCAAATTCAATAAAAATTACCTTGGCTTGGGACTTTTTAAGATAAATGTTAACATATACCATCAAGAAGTTTAACAAATAAAATTGTACATCTCTTTCTTTGTCCCTCTGAGGCAAAAATAAACAGAATCGTATAGGAAACTTCCTCTGGATTTTATCAGTAATATACACACTCCCATATCCACCATCACTTCTTAATATTCAAAGTAATTCTGCATCCCTTACAGAATATTGATATTGATTTTTACATACAAATATCAATGCACAATTTTATTTCTGCAATAACCTAGGCTTATGAAATCAACACCTTAGTAATACTGGAAATTCCAATTTCTTTCTTTTCAATGTTTCAGTTTCACCAGGGATGAAGCACACATCAGGGCACAAGGGGCTGTGGTTCTGCATAAAACAGAACCACTGAACATCCATGTTACTGAAGTTCTGTGAGGTATATCCACCACCTTTACTTGAAGTCTGGTACCCAGTAAGCTAATAATTAGCTTTGCTACCTGGAGCGTTGTATATTTTCAGTACTGACCCTTTACTGTGTTCAGTGGAAGATGGTCTTAGAGGAGCCTTAGGGCAGCATTTTCCATCACAGGACAAGTCTCAGTCCACAGTAAATATTTTAAAAGCCTGTTAGTAGCTCATATATTCCTTTCCTCCCATTTTGCCTTGAACTTTCAGCTCCTAGGACATGTCTTGAAAGAATCAATACAAAAAAATGAATACAATTGTTTTTAGCAAAGGAGGGAAGACTATATATTTTAGCTGGCAATCTCAGCTATCCACACAGGCATTTGAAATGGGCAGAAATTCACAGGACCCATATTAAGTGGGAAACTTGCTCCAACCTATCTTCACAGCGCGTCCATCCTTTGCACCCTGCTATGACACCACTGCATCCAAAGCACTCTGAGCCCCCAGATGCAAGATCTGCATCAAGCAGTCATTATTTGTGCATACCCTCTGCCCCCTGAAAGATAAAGTTAAACTTTAGTATCACCTAGGATAACCTTAGGTGAGGTAAAATGTTATATGGTAGTTGCAAAGTTGACAGGAACTGTGTTACAATGTTTTGCGGATTTGCAGCTTACTATGTGGGCAACAAAAACCCAACTTGAGCTAAAATGGAAAGTGTTGAAAACAGTGTGAAACACTTCAGAAGTCCTGTCTTTAATATTAATGAGCATATATTGTTTCTACAGCATTACAGCTGTAGCTCATTCACTTCCTAATATGATAGGAAAAAAACAAACAAACCCTAACATCTGCTTGGAATACTCAGCTCAAAAGAGCTCCAAATTACACTTTTAAGAGTAACACTGGCCTGTTTGGCAACAAATACAGATATTTTGAATATTATTTCCCTTCTCATTCTCATGTAAAGAAAGGGAAGAACATAAAGCATGTTTGAGGAAAGAAATAATGTAATTTTAAACAGTAACATGATTTTTTATGGTAAGCAAAGAAATACGAATGGGTTAGAGCCAGTATTTTTCAACGGTCTGCTCAAGAATAGGAAAGAAAGATGTGGGAGGGTGGGGAGGAAGTTTAGGGAAACAAAGTTCATCATATCCATGAAAGCATCAGAACAGCTGTGCAGTGCTATCTCACTCTACGGAAAAGCTTTTGTGCACGGGACAAAATTCTTTCAGTCAGGTCTGAAGTCTATGAAAGGTAATGGAAACCTTGCTCAAGAACCAGAGTGTACAGTACTACTTCAGTAAATCTAAACCTCACTGTACTTTATTTGTGAACTGCCTTCACCAAGCACATTCTGGGTATCTTCAACACATACTACTACCACAAGGTTTCTGATAGCTAATGCTAGTTGCTAAAACCACTTCTCTCTGTTTGAGTTTTTTTGAGTGTTCACCCAAGGGAGAGTTGGTACTATCATTACTAAGATTGTCTGACTTGAGGTGGCTTTTAAACTTGTCAAATAACTCTTTGCAAAGACTGAAAGCTTTTATGTGAGCTACATGTTTCAGGGAAGAGCTGAAAGGAGGATGGAAAATTGCAGGTGAAATATTCTTTATGTATATTTATATTCCTTAAGGAGAATACTTATATGAGGAATACTTTCCTCTGTTGCATGACTGCATTGTGGAAGAACTCTGTCATCACCAAACTTTGGCAAAAGATGCAGAAGTTTGGTGTATGGTATTCTGTAAATTTGTCTTTAATGATTAGCGAGAACTCTTGAACTTGGAATCCACTCAGATATATTCAAATTAAAGGCTTTGGGGTCGAGCCTGAAAATTACAATCGGTACATAGAGAGTCCTGTACTTAAAAGCTTTCATGCTATGTTTATACCAAACAGTGCACTCCACTGGATCCACTAATAGAGCAAAACAGTTAGTGCCCAAACCTTGGGATATTTTCCTTCTGAATGTCTCCAGGCCTGTCTAATGGACTAAACACCCATTAGAGATCAAAGCACATCTTCTGATTTAGTCTCTTCTAAGAGGAATCCAGCCCATGTGCCCTACAGATTTCCTGTGATGAGAACAAAAGCATGATAAAAGGACAATTCACTCAGAAGGCGCAATCTTTATCCTAACTAAAACACTAATAGAGAAACACTCCAGGTATGCTTTAATCAAGAGCCTGAACTAACAGAGGTCATTCACTATGCTTGTTCCTCCTACTTGTCCATACCAGCCTATCACTAAGTATTCCTAATAAAAGCAAGGAGGATGTCTTTCTGGCACTTTTCTTTGTCCTTCATATCCTGCAAAAGACTGTCAAGTGGACTCAGTGATTTAAGCCACCTCACAGAGCTGATAGAACTCTTCTATTTTACAGGAAAAAATGAAATAGATTTTATTTGGCAGATTGTTGCATTAATAAGATTCAACATCTATTCAAATTATTGCAAATTTTTGTTCAGAATTTACAACAGAATTTGTGCAAAGTTATGGTTTCAAACAGAAGTGCTACAATAAGATGTGTATTTTCTCACACACCAGGGTTTTTAGTGGCTGCAGTTGGTGAAAAGTAGCATACCAGACAAACAATAATGGGGACAGCAGATACTTAGTTCTAATCCTAAGAAAATACATGGTAGACAACTGAACCAAAGGCAATGGGCTAAAGACCATACACACAAATGAGGAATTAATGAGAATACCAGACATACCTGAGAGAAATACTGAGCTCTGGCCCTTGTTCCACACCAAGAAGCAGTAAAAAAAAAGCATACTTAGAACAACTACACACAAACTGGACCATTAAGCACATAAAAGGAATGGTTTGGATTCACAGCATAACTGCTGATCTCCACCTGCCCACCATTTATGGAAGATAGTTCTTCTCTCTCCCATCCTCCACAGCAATCCAGACATCGTCAAGCAACCAAGCAGGAAGAAAAGAAGAGGAAGAGACAGTATAAGAAACAAGAGGCAATGGAAGAAACTGTGTATTTGAAATGTAAGTTAAAGTCAAATGTGTGATGAACTGACTAAAGCTGCCATTTGCCGTCTCTCTAAACCACTCAGGGGCAGGAGGTAGAGAACTCAGGAAAGAAGGAGAGGGTAGGGGGAAGGTGTTTTAAGAGATAGTTTTATTTTTCATTATCCTACTCTGATTTGATTGGTAATAAACTCAATTAATTTCTCCAAGTCAAGCTAGTTTTGCCTGTGACAGTAATTGATGAGTGATCTTTCCCGGTCCTCATCTTGACCCACGAACCTCTCTTTCTATTCTTTCCCCTATCCAGCTGAAGACAGGAGTGACAGAGCAGCTTTGGTGGGCACCTGGCGTTCTCCGCCCTGTAGGGGTGGAGAGTGCACTGGTGCTGATGTTGGCTGGGGCAGAGTTAATCTTCTTCACAATAGCTGGCTGGTATGGGGCTGTGTTTTGGGTTTGTGCTGGGAACAGTGCGGATAATTCAGGGATGTCTTGGTTCTTGCTAAGCAGAGCTTACACAGAGTCGAGGCCTTTTCTGCATCTCACCTCACCCCAGCATCCAGGTCTGAGGAGGCTGGAGGGGCACAAGAAGTTGGGAAGGGACACAGCTGGGACAGCTGCTCCCAACTGACTCCAGTGATACTCCACGGTGACATGCTCAGCACTTAAAGCTGTGGAAGAAGGAAGGGGGAGATGTTCAAAGTGATGGCGTTTTGTCTTCCCACATCACCATTACACGTGTTGGAGCCCTGCTTTTCCAGGCATAGCCGAACATCTGCCTGCCAATGGGAAGTGGCGAATGAATTCCTTGTTTTGCTTTACTAGCATGTGGCTTTTGCTTTACCTGTTGAGCTGTCTTTGTCTCAACCCGTGAGATTTCTCACTTTTACTCTTCCAATTCTCTCCCCACCCACGGGCAGCAGCGAGTCAGCGGCTGCGTGGGGCTGAGTTGCCAGCTGGGGTTAAGCCACGACAGCCCTGGGACTAGCACAGAATGTGGGATCTGCAGTCTTCCCTCACCACGGGCTCCAATGCAGACCAGAGCTCAACAGCACATGGAAATGAGACTGGCACCACTTACACCAGGAAAGTGCTGGAGCCTGGCACTGAGACGCAAGGTGCGTTCTGTTTCCTTTACCTGGATAACAGAATACTCCTTGAAAGTATGACCCAGGTCTGTTCCCTTTGACATGACCCATAACCTGTGACCCAGATCTGTGACCTTTTACTGAGACCCACACTGGAGCAGGGAAAGAGTACAAGGAGCCCTCCCCCTGAGAAGGAAGGAGCAGCAGAGACAAAGGCCTTTTACACTTTTTGAAATCAGCTGTTTGTACAAAGTCTGTGCTGCTGGAAGTGATCATTCAACATAAGGGGAAAAGCAGGAGCTCCCCCCCTTCCACAGATTCATACCTTGACAAATGAAGTTTGGCATCTCCAACAATGGAATTGGATCTTAAAGACAGTGAAGTACCGCTGCTCACAACAAACGACAAGAAACCTGAAAGTTCCTTCTTGATGCATTTAATTTCTTTTGTGAAGTTCTAAGGACTAGGGCACTACAAAGTGTGAGGTACACATAGTAACAGGGCTAACAACTCCAGTTGGATCAGGTAAAAATGGGTTACAAAATATTAGGAAAAGAAATAATGAAAAATACAAACTTATCCAGTCACACATCAGCTGCAAATCGAAATTCTGAAACCCTTGAAAATCAGTCCCAGGTAAAGTTCAAGGCTGCTCTTTCAAAAGAAGGACATTCCAGTTCTAGGAGACTAAGAGTGGAGGAACCTCCCATGCCAACCCTCTACTTGACCCTTGTTGCCTGAAAGGTAAATTGCATCCTTGATGCACACACAGAGGTGACCTGGGGAACACTGCTCTTTCAGGACTTGTCACTGGGAGGTTTCTTCTTAGCCTCCACATCCTTCTTAAAATCTTCAAGCTTCTTCGCAATGTTAGGAATCTTTAAAGACAAAAGAAAAAACACTCATCAAAACCTACACAAATTAACAAAATACTGAGCTACATAAGTCTCATCAGGAAAGACAATACCACAAACACAGCAAGAAATTCTAGGATTTCTAAATTCTATGGTTTCTAAAAGATACTTCCAGTATCTGTTACCTTGCACAGAGGTTAAAATGAAAGCAATATCAAACGAAGAGTAGATGAAAGCACCTCACAGGAGGCTTCAGGAAATATTTTAGGTTGTTAAGGCTACAAGTTGGCCAGTGGTGATGGGAACAGGAGAAAGGAAAAAAGACCACTGTACAGGAAATTTAGTAAGACCAGTCTGGTTTCCTCACTGAGAGAGGAGGAACTGCCAAGAACAAGCAGATTTAAACACTGACGCACAGACTTTTGAAGGGGAAATTAGATTGCACTATAGTGGTCACAACCTGAGAGAAATGAGATGTTCAAGAGCATCAATTATGTTCTCAAGAAATTTATTAAGAAATACTCCTGGTTTGTCTTGTGGGAAACAAAATCCCACACTATGGGGAACAAAATCCCACAGTAGAACAAAATTCTACTGCATTGCAAATTGGCAACCTTTTGCAGTTTCACACTTGAATGAAAATTCAATTTACTGCTTGTAAGCTTCAAAACTTCAACTTTCTCTTGCAAATAAGAGAATTTTGATCAAATAATCCAACAGTAAATTTTGGTAACTTGAAAAAAAATGCTGCAACTTTTAAGGGCGAGGAATAGATTATCTCATGACTCTAGCTAAAACTGGGAAGTGACAATGCGGGATTTTACAAGCTAGCTGATTAAAATTAAATTTAAGACAAGTTTCCACAAGTAGTTGTGAAAAAAAAAAAAATCAAGAGCTTTTACTTCATATATAACCTGACCACAGAGTAGAAGTTAATCCAAACAGACTGCAGTTCTCCTATTGGATGATCTGAGGCTGACAGTACCAGTAACATAAGTTGCTCTTGCCTTCCTTCTCAAAATTAAGCTCTGTTGGAGTAAACAAAATTAAGAGCCCAGCCTGACAACTAAACCAAGAGAACTCCACTGCTGTCACCACAACCTCCCCGTGCTTACAACTGAGCACATGTGTGTACAGCTGCAGAATTAGCACCTCATTATGACAAGTTTATCTCAGATGTCATCAAAAACAAGCCATCTTCAATACCAGCAATAAAATTACCATGTTCATCCTGCAAGTCAATGTTACATTCCCAGGGAACCATTTCCTGCAAACTAAAAGCCTGAGTCCCCCTCTTGTGGCAATACTTTATTAGTGCTGCCAGAAAAGCACTATACCATGTTTATGATACATATTGATACATCCATATTCTTACGACTACATTTTTGTAACACTTTAAAGCACATACTAGAAAGAAACACTAGCCTTTCATTAGTACTCTCACTGGAGTGACTGACAGGAGACATCACGTGCATAAACAAGGAGCAAAATGTATCAATTTTTTTAAGCAAGATGACTTCGATACTGAAGATGAGAAGAAAGCAAAAGATAAACGCCATCAGAGCCTCAACAACTCGTTTTTGATTTTTTTTAATTTTTTTTTTTTATTAGGCTAATACAGATTGCATAAGAATTAAAAAAAGAAAAAAGCATGTTAAATGTTATTAACTCCTCTAGTCTGTCAACTAAGTGGCACTGCTCTTCCAAAGAATCCTGCTGACCGTACAGAAGTTTAAAAGCATATATCGAAGACTCAGCTTGAAATCTTCTGCCCCTTCACACTGAAAACTCTGTTAACTGTGAGAACTGAGGAAAGAAAATTCCCTTTCTTTTCTCACCATGAAAAAAGAAGGAAAGATAGATTGCAGGCCAATACACTTTTTGAAGTAGGAGCAGGTGCTGAATTTTCAAAAAAAGTTGGTAGAATTTATTTTCACTATTGGTACAGAAGACAGACATTTCACATACTCTGAGGATTTTTAATTAACAAACAGACAGGCTATCGGAGTCAGGAAACCAGTATTTTATTGCAGGTAAAACCCATGAACAATTGCTAAATCTTTTCCATTTCTCCTGTCTCTATGTAGATGCCTGAACAGCAGTAAAGGCTTTAAGAATTACACTGTCACAGAGAAGATGCCAGAGAGGTAAATGTTTTGGTTCCACTTTTTTGTTTTGTTTTTTGCTATTAAGGTTGGAAAAGACCTCCAAAATCACCGAGTCCAACCTTTGATCAAACACCACCTTGTCAACTAGACCAAAGCACTAAGTGCCACACCCAGTCATTTCTTGAACACCTCCAGGGATGGTGGTTCCACCACTTCTCTGGACAGCCCATTCCCAAGCCTGACTACAGTGAAGAAATTCTTCCTGAAAAAGTTTGAGTTGCTCTTGTAACTGAACTCAGTAAGATCTCCATTCTGTTTAAATAAAATAACCCAAAATAAAAACCGATTTAGTTCCAAATGAGGGAAGACAGTCTTATATTTTCAGTTCAGAATAGGTTTAACTCTGAGAATACAAGGATACTCACATCATAGTTCTGAGCAATATACATCCCAACCACATTGCCAAGAGTAAAACCAAGCTAAAAAGGAAGAAAGGGAGAAGAGTTAACATTCTTTCATTAACAGCATATTTGGTTAAAATAAAGAGAAAGGAATATTGCAAGTCATGTAAAGATTAAAGAGTTTCAACACCACTCCTACTTAATTTCTCATCTTTCATCCAGAGGGGTCCAGTTTTACCCATCTCCTTCACCAGGAAAACCTTGCCATCATTTCCAAAACACTGCACGGTTGTGTTTTTTAATACAAGACTATTTGAATGAAGCTATGATCCCCTTTGTAAGGTTCTCTGCATACCCACAAAGGCACTACCTCCTACAAAAATGGGGGAGATACCACAAAACTTTTGGTTCATGATGGGAAAGCCTAAAGCAACACCCCACTAAAATGATGCTCAGTGCTGGAAAAGGACATACATATATTACTGTGTTATGTCTTTGTATAAAGCAAAAAAAAGGTTCACAAGCTTGAAGGTCAGAACAGAGGCTCTGATTGCACAATGATCACAGTCTTAAAAGGTCTAAGGGTACATCAACTTAAACTGGTGTAAACCTGCTACTTCTCTTCTGCAATAACAGCTGCCCATCTTCCAGACAGACCCTTCTGATCCTAAGCCTCTAGTTCTCAGCCAAATCCACTCTGATTGAGGGGCTCCTCTGAGGTAGGAAAATACTGTTGGTTGGAAGCACAACTTCTTTTGACAACTATGCAAACTTGTAGCTGATGAAGGGTGTCCATAAAAATGCACCTGGGAAGAGGGGCAAAAGCAAATGAGAAGCAGTTTCTGGCCCAAACCCTGTTTGCCAGCTGAGGAAAATCCTCACGCATAAGAACAGTTCTACAGTGAAAGAAATTCCTCTCTTCAAAGACAGGTGATAAAATTTTCATTCACCAATATCCTACATTTTTTATTGTTACACTCCAAAATAAGTATGTCCTATACTACGAAAGCTCATTTAAGTGTTTTGAAAGGGACACTTCTAACACTGTGCTTTTGTTCACTGTCAGCAAACAAATCATTCCCTCTGACAGCTGAGGCCAGTTCTATTTAAGAAAATTGTTATTGCTCATGGTCACTGCTGTCAAATTAAGACTATTTCGAGAAAAATAAACCCACTGTCCACAAAACAACTTTGCCATCTCATACTGACCAGACATTTTTTCCATGCCAGAAGCAGCATAGAGCACAGCTCATCTTCTCAGTGATTCAGACTCTGTAAGCATCACTGGTGAAAATCTATCTATAGAAAACTAAAATTTGCTGAGAAGTGCCAAATGAATTATGACTGCAAGTTACCTCAGTATTTTCTTAAACAGATTTTTGGTCTTATTCCTTGTTTATTATTACTTTTTAAGGAGCTTGGCTTTAACAATTTAAGAACAAGTAGAGTCTTTTTTGTGTGTGTATACTGCACTGGTTATCAAATGCTCTTGTAGTTCCAATTATCAGCTAAAGAGGTACTCCAGGAGATACCAACAAACACTGCACTGATGTAAACAAGACTTCTGATTCCTCTTAATGCAGAACATCACTCTAGCAGAGGAGAATTTCTTGTATCCTTAGCAGTGCCTCGGAAGCCACTTGAAAACACAAACCAGGTCCTTGTTTACCAGCAGTTTTCTAGGCTTTTCCCTAGAACATTTCCAATATATGTCTCATTCTGTTGTGAGATAAATCTTATCCAGTACAGACAGTTCTGAGATCAGTACTCCCTTTAAGTGTCTCCTTATTTGAAAAGTCTAGCACTGCACTGAAGAGCAATCCACCTGTAACATTTGTTTTTAGAGTTGACAATTCAAGCAATGGGAAAAAAATTCACTACTCAAGACTTAAATTATATGGAAAGCAAAACATATAGCCAATTAAAATGTTCATGTTGAATACAAACAGGGCTGATGAGAGTTTAGGGTCTTCCAATTTCTACCAAGCATTTCGAGTTGCATCACTGGCAAATGCTTCTTTAACGATTAACTCTGGACAGTAAAAACACAAGGTTTGTGAGATTATCCCTTTATCTCCCTGCTACAGCCCTTACAAGGGAGAGCAAGAGTCAAACACCCAATTTACACCCAAGCAGGGAAAAAACCCAGAATAAGTATATCTTTTTTCTAACTTTCACACACTAATCAAGAAGTCATATTTTTATCTAGCAACAAAAAAACATTAGCAGCAAGCAGTAGAGTTGATAAACACAAAAACTTTGAGAGTGGCTAACCATATTCAGCCTTACTGTTTTCACTGGAGTGGAGAGGGATTTAAAACAGCTACAGTAATGACTGAGGCTTTCATCTTTGTTATTTGAAGTTGGGATAAGAAATAGGCCTTATTTATTCATTATAAAAACCAGGCAAGGCTCTCCCAACTTACAACAGGCCATCTCTTCTTCCTCTGTATCAATGCCTAGTATGAAACTTATGAGCCAGCTGAGTTCTCTTCCCCCAACAAAAGATGAAAGAATATCACTTATTGTTTGTATTTACTGGGACATATCAGAACACAACTAAAACCCTAGGGCACCCCTCACATCCCTAGAATGAAAAATAGGAAGCTGTTTCCATGCTTTGCAACAGCACAAACAAGAACGTTATTGGTCAGGGAATTTATTTCCACATCTGGCAGTAAATACCAGCATCGATCAAGTATTGAATGAGAGCAGACTAACTTCAGGCATCTAACCTCAAGCACCCAGAGGAGTTTAGGGGATCAGGGGTGTTGAAATGAAAAAAAATAAAAAAAACATTCGGTCTATTAATTCTGCTGTTCTTAAGGGGGTGTAATGAAAGGCAGCAATGAAATACGATCCCTTGCCCTAACTTCTATATATAAAAATCCTCACTCCGGCGATAAATTTTTAAGGGTGCACAAAATGGCAAAGGGCCGACACTCCTGCTCTCACCAAAGGAGGGAGGTATTACGCTTACACAAAGAAATTTGAGCAGCAAGCGGAGCATCACCGTGAGCAAGCAGAATCTGCTGAATCTCCAAGGCAAATTAAGGGCACGGCTTTGGAGGAAAAACAAGGCAGGGACTCCCATTTTCAGAGCAGTTCTGCGAGAACAAGGGGGTCCGGTCCGGCTGCGCACGGCGGGTACCGAACAGCGGGGCCGGGGCGGGTGGAAAGGAGAAGGAGAAGGAAAAACGCCCAAGGATGCTGCGCTGCCGGGAAACTAAGACTGGGCGCGGCCGCCAGGCTGACACGGAGCCGGGTCACACCACGGTGACCGAACACACGGTGACCGAACACAGCGCTTCCCTCCCCCGCCCGGGCAGCGGCCCCGCCGCCGCCCTCCTCGCCCCGCCCCGCCCCGCCGCGAAATGGCGGCGGCGCCGCCGCCCCGCGGAGCCTTACCAAGAACTGCAGCATGGCGCCCTCCTGCCCCTGCTCCCTCCCCGCCCGACAGCCGGGGAAGTCAGGCGGGCGGTGGCGGCGGCTCCCCTTCCGGGCGCCGGCCCGCCCTCGCCGCCATGGCCGGGGGAAGGGCCGCGCCGAGCGCCGCCCGCCCGCGCCCCCGGGGCGGACCCGCCGCCTCCCCCACGGCGGGGCCGGGGCCGGGACCGGCCGGGGAGGGCGCGGCCGCCGCTGCCTGGCGCTGAAGGGATAAGGGGCCGCGCAGGGCGGGGGCGGCCGTGTCCGCAGGGTGCCGAGCGCCGTGGGAGCCCGATTTTCACTCCACGTGTGATTTCAAGATGGGGTCCTCAAGGACCGGACGGAATCCCTTATAATCCTGTGTAATTTGAGTGCCCCTGCCTCGCCGCTTGGAAAATCTCAGCCCCCCCCTTCCCATGCCGGAGAAGGCTGAAAGAAAGCTTTTGTTTTTATTTATTATTTTTGTTGTTGTCGTTCCTCCCCTACTCGGCGCTCGCTAGACCACATCTAGTGTAACACACGGCCCCAGGTTTGGGTCCCCAGGGCAGGAAGGACTTGGAGAAGCTGGAGCAAGCTCAGCAGAGGGCTCCAGGACGGATCATGCTGGAGACCTCCCTGCGAGGAGGGTGGAGGAGCGTGACAACTGCAGCCGTGGCAGGGATAAAAGAACACCTCGGGCTGCAAGGGATATTGGTCAGGTGGGACCATGGTCTCCGTTGCCGTGCACGGCTGGAGGGTGAGACGGCAGGGACAGGATGGAACGAGAGGACTGGACTGGGTTTACAGACTCTTTTGTCACCTAGGGAGGCAGGCACAGATTGCCCAGAGAGATTGTGCCATCTCCACCTTCGGATGCTTTCAAAACTCATCTGGGTTAAACTCTGAGCAACCCACTCTAAGCTCAGAGCTGACCCAGCCCTGAGGAGGAGGTTGGACAGGGGACTTCCTGAGGTCCCCTCCTGCCTGAATCATCCTCTGATTGATTCCACAACAGCTTTTAAAAACCCTGTGCCCCCTGTTTGTTTGTTTGTTTGTTTGTTTTTGTTTTTGTTTTTTTTTTAATTTGTATGTTTAGAAAATGAAGAGTATTTGTTCTTTGTGAAACGCCCTGGGTTTAGCTTCTTGTAAAGGTTACACTTAATTGAGATTTGGGCAGTAAATGTCAGTTAAGAAGATTTCTCCTGCTGAAAGTGAGTAAGATACTGAGGACTCTATTGCAGATCTCTTTTTCTTTTTCCACATAGCATTTCAGGTTAAAAAAGAAATAAATTAAGAAAACACAAGATGTGTCTATTGTGGAACAATTAGGCCACTCTCCCTTGAAAGCAAGTTAACTGAAATTCAGTCTCACTACCCAGGAAGCTCAAATGCTCCACCTAATAGAAAACATGTAGCTTCCTGCCTTTCTGGGGCAGGCACCTTGTGAGATAAAGAAGTATCTCCTACACATTTTAGGAAAGGAAGCACAGAAAGATATTAAGTAACATCTTTTTTTTTTTTTTTCTGGTGATACTGTAGTAAGATCCCGACTTGAGACAACTTTCTCCTGATTTCAGGCGACCCCAGAGCTGCTGCATTGTGCTTCCCTCCCTGGGCCAGAGCTGACATCTGAAAACAACACAGAGGTTTGGATGGATGTGTCACAAGAGCCAGGGCTGTACTTCTTTGCCTTCTGAAGTGACTGATTCTCCCAGGAGTTTCACACATGAGCTTGGTTCTGGAAACAGGAACAAATCAGTTGCTAATAACTATTTTCCTGATGCTGAGGCCTTCTACATGTGTGCAGGATCAGAGCACTAAGATAATATTACAGACTCCAGCCTGAGCACATGTCAGAAATCAGAAGGAGGAAACAAGTCTTTCAGTAATAATAATGCCTCCACATTCACAGGCAGATAAGACTTTTCCTGCTTTCTTCTCATTTAAAATGTTATTATACTTAGACTATAATAAATACAACATGTGTTAGACAGTCCTGGCTCTACAGTACTGTACGCAGTTATTTTCCACATGCCATGGATTTCCTGTGACATTTAATGGACAGCCAAAAATTTTTTTTTCCTTTAAAGTAGAACCATTCCATTTACATCAGCCAATGCTGAATCACTCTGGATTAGAGACTGTAGAGGGTGGGTATTATGGATGGCATGTGTTATTGGAAGGAAGAGCTCAGTCTGTTAGTTATAAATGCAACCACTGTGCTTTTATATTTGGGGGAGGAAGGGAAAAGCCAAACCAAAAAACCCCAAAACCTTCTTTTTTTGAGGTCCCTCAAATACGCCTTCACTTCAGACCAGACAGTCTCATTAGCAAGCAGCACTTACTCTACTCTGGGCATTGGCCATAACGTGGTTGGAGGGCATTTACTTATTCTTGAAGAAGAGAAGGAATCAGGAAGAGGCCTCATCTCCAACATCACCAGTGCTGTTCTGAACAATGTTCAGGGTGTGTAGGAAGTCCATTGTGCTGCATGGCACCCATTTTATTTTGCCTGCTTGGGAAGGAGTTGGTTAAATGGCCTGCTTTTCATTTCCTTTGCTTTTTTCATTCCCTACTTGTGCTGCCACTCATAATCCTTCTCAGCCCAGGGGTGCAAGGCTGTCTGGGTCTTCTTTAAGGTAGCTCATGCAGCTTCTTGTTTTGTAGCTACCAGCTTTGGTGATAGAGATTGGTAACTGTGTGGAGAGTAAGGATGGGATGAGGAGCAGCAGCCCAAGCAGGAGTGCATTGTGCTCAGCTGACTACCTCAGGAAAACCTGTGCTCAGTGAGACTGACAGCTGACTTACAGCATCTTTGCATTAGCTCCTTTCACCTTGCCATCACACAGACATATCTTAGGAAATAGAGGTTTTTTTCTTTGTGAGAAAACAGCATTCTGAATTCAGAAGTGTGAATATCTTCAGTGTAAAGAAGAGTGCAAAAGTCATGGAGTGACAGTGAGATCCCAGGAGCTACTGCATGCATTTAGTCAAAACCAAAGCTGAAATAACAAGTCCAGTGAGTTCTTCAGTCACTTGAAGATGAGATATAGAGATATTCTAATAATTTTGAACAATAAATATGTATAGGCAAGTTGTACCGGCCACAGTAATACTCATACATTCGATGAACAACATCTTTGAAAACAAATTTGTCCCTTGTAACCAAGAATCTAGAAGAGTAAGCTACTTAAAATGATAAGGGTTGGAAAACTCATTTTTCTAACTGAGATAGGGACAAAAAAATGTATAATTTTTAATACATTTGCTGCTGGTAAAGACTTTCTCAGTGTTACCTACTGTACTCTGGTGTTCTACAGGTATAGTCAAACCGGTGAGGTATGCAGAAAGCTTGTTTGTCAGGAAATACTGGCTCTTCTACATTATTCTCATTTTCTAAATCATGTTTGAAAATGCATTCATGTTTATTTGATATTATTTTTATTGTGCATGTGCAGTATATATGTAGTCCACTTTAAGGAAAGTGAGAATCCCTTTTTTAAAGAATAGTATTTAATTTACCCAATTTTTTACAATAAGTTTGATGGTTTATGAATGTACCATACCAAACCAGACAGTTTTGTATGTTGAGCCCAGTAGAAAAAGAAGGGTGTTATGCCACCATATTTTGAGAAATGCTAACAAAGAAGAGCTTGTATTCTTATATCCACATAAGTCTATGGGCCTGGATGAATCCACCCCAGTATGAGAGAAGTGGCTGACATGACTGCAGGGCCACTGTCTATAATATTTGAAAAGTTATGGAGATCAAGGGATATCCCTAATGACTGGAAAGGAGCAGATACCATACACAAGGGCCCAAAGGAGGGCCCAGAAAACTAGAGACCCATTAGTCTTATATCAGTCCCTGGGGCAGTGATGGAACAAGTCCTCATAGAAACTATTAGAAACCAAGTGAAGTGGGTGATTGGGAAAAGCCAGCAAGGATTTACCAAAGGCAAATTCATGCCTGACAAACCTGATCACCTTCTACAACAGAATGAAATTTTCTGTCAACATGGAGAGAGAAGTGAGTGCTGTTGACCTGGACTTTAGCAAAGCATTTGATATATTTTCCCACATCCTTCTCCTGGACAAACTGGCAAGATACAGACTGGGTGGGTGGGCTGTCATATGGGTAGGAAATTGGCTCACAGGCCTCACTCGGAGGGTGATGATCAATGGTTTTTGCAGGAAAGACTGGACAAGTTAATTCTTTCCTCCTTGGAGAAAACAAGGCTTAGGGAGTACCTCATTGCAATATTCCAGCACTTAATGGGCAGCCACAAAGAGGACAGAGATTCTCTCTTCACCTGAAGCCACATGGAAAAGACAAGGGCCAATGGGTACAAGTTGCACTGGGAGAGTTTTCATCTCACTATTTTATACATCTCACTCTATATTTTATACAGTGAGAATAATCAGTACCCCTTCCCAGGGACGTGATAGAGGCCCTGTCACCAGAGGTTTTAAAAATGAACAGAGTAATAGATAATCTCATAAGCTTCCTTTGCCACAAATTATAGAAACAGATGGTCTTTTGAGGTCCTTTCCAACCTTATTCTCTGGTTTTGTGATCCTAAAAGTGAAATATGTCCCAGACTGTATGTCTACAAATATTTGACCCAGTGAGCAGTCAAGCAATGATCTTCTCACTCTTTCTTCCAACTTGCTTTTTCTGTACAGCCAGTAAATATGTTATTTTCTGCCTTGAAAGCAGCACTAATAAAAGGTTTGATGTGGAAACTTTTGGTATTTGTGTTGCAAATGTTTGAGGGTTAATTTGAATAAAGCAATAGTGTTTGAATAAAGCAGTAGTAGTGATGATTTAGCCATCATGAAAATGTAAGCAAAGCAGGGTTAGTAGGAGAATTGATAATTGATTCTTTGCCATAGAAACCCTTTCTCAGATCTGAGTATGATTTAAGTCACAAGATGTAAAAACTGATTTAAAAAAATGTTCTTCTTTTAACTTCACAATAACTGATATACAACTTTGAATGTAAGTCCTTAGGATACATAAATTTAAACATCCTTTTAATACCTCTTTTCCAATGTTTGGAAAGGGGAGTGGAAACCAGATTTCCCTAAGCTAGAAGTTCTGTAAAATAAACACCAGATGGAGCCAGAAAAC